CCAGGCAGGATTGGAATCTGAAAAGAATCAATTTTTAGAGCGATTTATTCAGGTCACCAACAATCAGTAAGTAAACTTACCCTGCAGGAGTTATAGCATTGTTATTCACGTAGATTCCAGACCAGCATGAGACTGGGAACTCTCTGCTTGGCGATGGTGTAGGCGGGACGATCTAAGATGAGGAATATCAGTATAACTTAACCCTTTTACTGTTGTTTCACAGAGGTCCAGCTTTCAGCTCACTCTGGTGGTTTTTATTTGGCCATGATTGTGAATGGGAGGGGTATGGTAGAGGGAGAAGTTCAGGTCCATAAGATGAGGACGCGTTACACTATGTGACTCGAACGATTTTGTGGCGCTCAGGAATCGCTCGAGTCGCGCAACCCCAAAATCGCGTGCTGCTAGCGACCGCGCTAAAAAACCAACCTCTGGATTGCTGCAACGGCCACTTCAAGCACAGCACTTTCGGAGTGCCTTTCAGTGAATACATCAACCTATGCTACGAATGTTGGTTAGCCTAACATTTTCTTCTGTCAGCGTATATGAAGGGAGCGAATGAATGGCCTTCAGGCAGTGGGCGGAGCAGAAACTGGAACACTGACTCCCTAGCGTCCTTGCCACGCATTTGAGCAGTGAAAGTTGCACACCCCATGGGGCTGCTGACCTGCACATCTTGTACACTGGGCTGAGCGCTCCACATAGCGAAAACAGTGATGAAGTCTTGCTCGCTGCGGATGGTGGGGTGCATCAAAGGGGCGGGTTTGGCGCGGCGCCGGTACGCGTTTTTCTTTTTTTCTTCCGGCAAGCGAAAAGACTGTATCATATCGTTCGTATCATTCGCTTTCCACCAGCTGTTCCACCGCTTGAACGCTTTAACAACTGGTAAACAAGGGTTGACATATGGGTGAGGAAAGGCTCCGTCATTTGCAGCGAACAAGGCTGCGATCGCGGGTAGTCGGGGAATATTCAGGCAGGGTAATCACGAGATGTGCCCTGGAAAGAGATCTCCATTGAGCTCGAAGGGTGGACCCCCACAGGAGCGGATGCACCGATACCCAAACTGCCACCTCGTATGGTTATCTCACGGGGTTTACGGAGCTGACCCTGGACCCTTCATGCGAACAAGACGAGCTCAGCAGTGATGATGGGTAACGAGGTAGGCTCTGAAAGGAATTGCCGGGCTGCTGAAGAGCTGGAGGTCGGAGGGTGCCAAGACCCTTTTGGCGTACATGAGTTGGTTGATCCATTCCAGAGCCCCTTCCTTTCTAGGCAAAGAGGTAAATCCCTCAACAGAGATTGAGCCGTCTTCACCCCACTTTTAAGACTGATTGAGTTAGTTTCAGTAATTTCAAGGGAACTGACGTCAGTATTGTTGGTCATTTGCAGATTGCAGCTGTTCGCATAATCACAGCAACATCCACTGATTTCGCGATCTCCTGGCAGACCGGTGCAGGCGTTGTCGATGCCCAGGGATCTGAACAGTTGTCTTAAACTGACTGCCAAATCCTAAAAAACGCACCGAAATCTTATTTGATAACTCACTTGCAAACGCTTATCGGAGCACATTGGAAAGTGGTGACTTTGTCGCCGTTAACGACTCCACTCAATGATGAACACATGCCATCGCAGTAGACCTAAATAAAGACCCACATCTATCGGCATGAACTAGAAAGTAAACTCTGTAGAAGTTTCTCACCTCAGCACCAACGTTCACTCCAGCATTCGGGGCCTTGATACCAACGTAGCACTGAAGATAATTACCAGGGCTCTGAAATGGGCATAATTGATGAGAAATCTGTTCTTGTGAGCTGTGGATGATACATGATTTTTGAGACCTGAAAGTCTCCTATGGGAGGGTCGAGGAATGGCGCAGTTCGGGAACGAGGGGGCATTTGGCATTTTCGCTGAGTCACTAGTTCCGGTCTACAAGTCCCTGAGAGCTGTGAACCCTTGTAAAGCTGAAGCAAGCACGTCGAGTTACTAGGGTAAAACCTGTCAACCCAAAAAAACAATTATATTTGAATCGCGCATTACATAAAAATGTGGGCGTGGGCAAAAAAACGCTCAGGATAGAACGTCTGTGAACGTCTGTGAATGGATATCGGGGCCGATAACAGGAATCTTCCGCTTTGAACGCTATTTTGCTGAATCGAGATAGCCCGCGCTGCTGTAAAGGCGATTCTTTGGAGGTTTTAGAGGGAATTCGAGTACCCGTGGCTTCTCTCCTTTGTTCTTTGTAACGGTTTCGATATCTCGCTTGCTTTTTATCGCTGAAGGTTCACTCACACGATGAACAGTTGGGCGGAGACAGTGACCGTACGACTGAAGCAAGGGTGAGCCAGTGAGACGGTCCTCTGTCCTCGCCCATACGACGAGCGTAGAATATGGCTTTCAGAGCCACTTTTGTTGGAACACGTCCAAAAGGTCTGCCTAGAGTGCGGTTGTTAGACACCTGAGGATCGATAAGAATTCTCCTGGCATGGGCTGACGCAAGCCCGACACACAAGTGGGGACTACCGGAAAACTTTCTTAGGTAAGGTAATCGTCGAGCATTGGGCAGGAACTTCAGAGAAGAAAGGAAACAGAATGACAGCCCACCAAACTACAGGATCGAGAGCTAGGGTAAGGCCTTTTTGAATAAAACTTGAGCAAAGAGAACATCCTAAAAAATCTCTTTTCTGACCGTGTCAAGACAGGCATCTCCGTCATACACACCCCTTCGCCATCCACTCTCCAGCGTTTGACATTGGTTGTTCATATCTGAATGTATTGATCCGTGTTTTTTTGAGAGCCACCTTTTTTTTATAAAACTGTAAGAGAAGAATAAAGAAAATAGGAGCGCCATTCCAGTAAGGTGGAGATTTGAAGAACTCTTGCGAAAATGAAATCGAGACTTTCCGTTGCCCGAACCCTTTTATACATAGGAATCGATTCATCCAGTCTGAAGGTTTCTTCCTTTCAAAAATTTATCCCTATTATTCAGCAAAATTTTTATCCCTCTTTTTCGCAGTCATTTATATGCCCCTCGTTACTGAAATAGCGCCAGAAACGTCCATACTGAGAGCTTTGCAGACGCTTGTCGGATCACAGGTGTACATGGTGGCGTTGTGGGTCTGACCAAGAACGGTGGTGGTCAGCGTCAAAGAAGCGCATTGACCCTTGCAGGATTGGTATCTGAAACAGTAAAACTCTTCTCAGGACCGCCCTTTGCCAACTTTTCCAAAGCGCATTGACTTACCCGGCGTTAGACAAAGCTTTTCCGTTTACGTAAATTCCGGACCAGCATGAGATCGGGAAGTCGGTGTTTGGTGCTGGCGTGGGTATGGCGAACTAAAAACTCCATCGATCACTTGACTTACTTCTTCAGTTTAATGAAACACCTACACCGGGAGGAGTGTTACACGAGTTCGATGAGTCACAACAACATCCTGTCACTTCACGGTCTCCCTTCAGAGTGTTACAACTGTTATAGGCGCCAAGTGCTCTGAAAACAACACCATTACAGTACCTCAGTCCTTAGGGTATTCTGCCGACTAAAAAAAGCTATGAGACGCACTTGCAGACTTGTTTCGGCACACATTGGTAGGTAGTCACGTTGTCGCCATTGACCATGGCATTCAGGGAAGAGCAGATTCCGCCGCAGACGATCTGAATTTTGGAATTAACTCAATTGTTTTTCGTTCCAGAACAGTTCAAATCTCAGTTGCTGCTCGAGCTCGCCCCGCTTACTATAGCCTCTCAATGCTTACTGCTGATTTTTATTGCCTCCAGTAATCTGTACGCAAGCATTCCCTTTGCTGACCTTTGGGGATGGGCATAGTCCAGGCCCAGACAACGACCAATCTTAAACGCTCTGCGCTCTCTATAGCTGAACTGATGGAGGAAGAAATTTTAGGAGGGGCGAGAAGAACGGAAAACGGACCCGCCTCGCTAGAATGTCAA